CAGTGCGTTATGATTGGCTGAATACCTCAAGCGTGAGACGGAAATGTTACGCCCCTTGCCATATTGTGATGATGCCCTGTCAGGCCGGAGCGATGATTCAAAAACATGAAAACCCATTATAAACGAGTCATTCGTTGCATCCAGTGGGGACATAATTATGGATTATAATGACTTATACTGTCTTTTTACGCGTTGCGTTGCATCGGCGATTTCGACGAAGGAGCGTCCGGAAGGACATGTTGCGACCTCGGGCTGGGCTCGTCCACGGTGAAAGCCGATCCGGCGATCCACAGCGCAAAGTTGTATTATATTTGACATACTTCACTTTCAGTTTTACAGTCAAGTCCTTGTTGATGTATGATATGTCATATGACCCCTTTAACAATTTCAGTTGTGTGTGTTTCTCTGTGTGTGTGTGTGTGTGTGTGTGTGTGTGTGTGTGAGTGAGCAAATTCTCCACCGTGGATGTGTTTTACTGTCAGTCAGCCATACTTTTTGTGTTTGCTTAGACCCCAACAGCATCCATGTCATAAAGGCCTTAAAGCCTTCATTTAATTTGTATTCAAAGAGAACATCTGCATCTGTAAAGATGTTTTAATGATCAGCTTTTTTTCCACATTTCATATAAATCTAAATAGAGAAAGATTTATAGAAAAAGTTGTTGTTGGTTTTTTTCCCCAAGTAGAAACTCGCTGTGGATTTTCCTGGAACTTGTCAAGTGACATTTTGTTTACATTTTTCTCTCTTAAAAAAATATTCACACAAATTGCTTGTGCTCATTTGTCTCTATCACTGAACTTCTGTCCTTCATGTAAACGCACTGACATCATTTTTACGTGTCTGTGTGGATAAGATACTCATGTCACAGCTCTGGTAAACGTTTCATGATCCCATTGTTCACATGCATTAAAGGTCCCCTGAAATGCTTATGAACATGCAGCGTTACTCTGTGTTGACATCATTTTAACTGAAACAGGAAGACAGGGTGGGACATATCAAGCTGCCCCGCCCCTTTTTAAAATAGCCAATAGCCTTCAATTATATCACAGCTTGGGCTAGAGCCGTTCAGAGCCGTTGAGCTCCGTAAAGCCGCATTTGGCAGGGTATGCCAGCCACAATCTCATCCATATTGCTATAAAATATAGCATTCTGTGTAGAATTCAAATAGCTCCGATACATTTTGTGGTCTG